TGTTCATATATTTTCCGAATTATCTCGATTTAACTCGAGCTCTCATTGAGCACTATCGTCAAGTTCGAGGAGTCGAGTCGATTATCGAACAGTCTGCGAATTTAGCGTTCGCGTGAACACATTATACGCCGGTCTCGTAATATCGCATGATTACATTGGTACTATAAATATGCTCGTAGTCTCCGATTTAATCTGAATTTTAGCTTTTGGTGGAAATATAGTACGATTTTTTGAAACGTAAAATATTTTGTTGCCCGTAAGAGCTGAAGTCTACTCGGCGTATCAAGCATTGAGGTGTATCACTAGTTATTTCGTTAACGGGGCTGCAACGTCTAAAATAAAGAATTTCAAAAGCGAAATAGAAGGATTTCTCAGAAGATAGATTTCCTCCGAGATCTTCGAGCTTACGTGTTCTTATGTCGGATCTGACAAATCTCGCGAGGCACAACGAGAATCCTGAAGCAATTGCAGCTGTGACTTTACACGCTGCTAGAGTACATGTCTGCCGCTATATTTGCGGCGTCGATATCGCGGTTTGAGAAAACGGAGCTTTCTATACCGAGATTCGATAAATCAACCTGGAGCTGTGCGATTCTCGCGACGATATCGATTACGCTTTCGGAATCTCGTGCTACGTTTTAACTATAACGCGAACTTCTCCAAGCAAAACACTTCATACTCGATAAATGTTAAGCCAAGTAATTTTTCCAAGAGAAGTTTTGCAAAGTATTTCCAGTTGTACCGCCTGGGCAAACAAATCCATACTTGAAGCTCGTTTCTTGACTATTACGTTCCACTTTTGTTATTTCCCTATGTTTTAAATGGAAAACACTGGCTACCAATGTGTGTTCGATTATCTCTTGAATTAAAATTAAAAATAAAGAATGGGCAAAAATTCGCACGTCATAATTCGGTTCCTCAAATTTTAATAGGAAATGCACAGCGATGATAGGTAGATATAAAAGAAATAACAGAAAATATTCCACGAGTGAAAATAGGAAATAATAGAAAATATTCCACGAGTAAAAATAAGAACGCGACAGAAAATATTCGATTGAAAAAAATTTCGCAAAATTTTACACGCCTGCGAAGTGAAAATAAATTGAAACGAACGTCGAAATTTCCAATATTCCTGATCGTTCGTTCAACGGGAAACCGAGGTATCTGGGACTTTATTATCTTGCAAATAAGATGAACCCCAATTTGAAACTCGAATTATCGTTCGCGATGTTATCCAGCCATTTATCCAAGAGGCACGTGCCAATTTCGTAGTATTAGGCGTAAGAAATTACCATGACAATGAACCAGCGACGCGATACGCGAGCCACGAGCTTCCCATTCACCTCTTCCAGCGATAGACGAATAATTCTATTTGGATCCCGCTTGCTCTCCAAACTTTTACGGTATTCCACCTACGAGGCGTTGCTTCGCCTTTTTGGCGAAGTTTGATTCGTCCACGGAGTTCCACCGAGTTCCAACGCTATTTCACCGACTGAATTCCGACGAGAGAACTATTCGGCTGCACGAAAAATATTTCCCACGCGCGGATCGGTTCGGATTTTTTCGTTACTTTCGGAAATAAATCAAGAGATCACATCGCGCGATTCAAAGCTTCGATTTTCGTTTCACTTTCGCGGAAAAAAGTTCTTCAACGAGCAATAGAATTGGACCTTCGTTTTACACAAGCTCTCCCAAAATTGAAGATTAAAGTTATTTGGGAAATTGTAGCTACTTTTATTAATTTTCAATTATCGCGAAATGTCGGATAAAGAGAAGACGCTTTTAATGAAATTTGGCTGGTGTTACTTTGTAAGCTATGGTGTGATATTTGTGTTTCTAGAAGATTGGAAATATTAGGAGCAATTGCGGTAATCAATGTTCAGTTATCACGATGGGTAGTATAAAGATCAGAAGCTTTTAATAAAATTAAAAAAGGCAACGATGTTTGTAACTCGAAAAAGCTCTTCTAAAGTTGGCAATTAAAATTATCGAGAATAAATTGTTGATACCCTCTACTAACTTTAATTTTTCTTATTAAATCCTACTAAAGATAAGGAACTTTCACTAAATCAAGGAGAAAGGGTTTAAAGACTTTTTAAAAGGCTTCCCCAAAATTAAAAATTAAAATTATTAAATAGAAACATGGGACACGATTATCAATCTCGAATTCCGGCGAGCCTTCAAACAAAACTCATAACCTCAAACTCATCGTGTACTCTCTCGCAAACGACGTGAAAATTTTCATTCAAAGAACAAAACATTCCCGCAATTCCGCAAGATACCCGGGAAAAAGAGCAGGCGAGGAACCATCTCGCAAAGCGAGCATCGTTCCCAACGAAATTCCAACGTCACGAATGAAAAAGCAACATTTCCCTTCCAAACGAGAACCTTCTCCCCGAGATCTCTGAGAAAGGAAACACCGGCGAAATATCCCACGAAACAATTTATCCTCGAATTGGTGAAACGAAAATCGAATTATTAAAACGAAGAGCGAACTCTGGGGCCAGTGACTCACGGTTCCACGAGCTTCTAATAGAGAACCGGGTCGAACCGGAGGAACAACCCTGTCCGCGCACGAGACCCGAGTCTATCCACGTTTCGCGCCCCTAGTGTACACGGATCGACGAAACACTGGCGGTGGTTTATCGGATTCGAAGCGATCCGCGTATCAAGCAACCTCCGCGGCGGGCGTAGCCTGCCCTTAAAGCTTTCGATAAACGAGCGTGTCGCGCAAGCTCCTTTTAATAAATCCGGGGGAACGCGAGCCACGACTAAGCACCCCGTCGTGCATTCTCTGCTCTCCTATACTCTCTTATATTCTCCTATACTTTCCTATGTTCTCTCCTTTTTTCTCTCTCGCGCTCGGCCTCCCTTTCTCCAGCTTTCTCCGCCTTCCAACCACCGGCTCTCTCTCCCACCCCCGGTCCGTTCACTGTCGGGGTAGCAAGGGAACTTTAACCACGCTCGACGCTTCCGCGCACTTTAGGCCGCAAACTACGGATTTGTTTTATTGGATTGCCCTGATTTACGGAGCAGCAGCTTTATGGAGATAAAACTTAGCGCCCAGGTTCGCGCGCGGTCTCTTCCGCCAGCCAGCTTCCGCTTCCATCTGTGTCTCGCTCGCGGTTAAACAGACTCGGTATTATCTGGCCCTTTATGGCGATCGTTATTCATAAACTTGCGGAACGTGCCTACGCGACGGCCTGCTCGCGAAAGGGACGAAAAGGGAACCTCGAGGGTCTCGCCTCGAGAAATCGTCTAACCGTGCTTAATCCTGGATTAATCGGTTAATCAGTCGGGAGACGGACCGGAGTCTCTCGTAAGTTCTCGAGATCGATCGAACGAGAAGAAGTTCGACAGATTCCGCCTGGCAATTACGTGCTGCAAGTTCGAACGCGAGGCTAGACCGGGAGATTTTCGTTGCTCGAACCGGGGGTAATAAAGAGAGGATTTCTCGAGCTGCTTCCTTTGTCGCGCGAAGACGAGGTTCGCTTGGAGTCGCGAAGAGAGTGGAAAAGGAAGACGAGGGCGGGTTCGTATTGTCGCAAATCGCGTTTCGTCTCCTTTGGCGTGCATTTTCGGCCCCGCGATGCAAAGAAACTGGATTTCACGGCCACAAAGTGCTCCGTGTTCCTTTATTGACTCGGCGTGCTTCGCCGTGCCGGCGAGTTACGTCAGAAAAAGCTCGAGCTAGACACAGAGAGCTCAAAGGAGCGTTTTGCGTGAAATCATCCTCACCGGTGTCCTTTGTCATTTTGCATTTTTGCCCGCTTTATACGGCGACCGCCTCGCAGGAGTAAAAGAGAACCGCTATATTTAGATCTCCTACAACTTTTTACCTTTTACCGCGACACTTATTGCACGGACGCGTCATTATTTTAACGTTCCCTTGACACTGAAACTACCCGAGTGCCACGAATTTAGAAACCCCTCCTCGAATACGACTTAAACGATGAAGACGGGTAAAGAGAGCCCTCTTAAAAGAAGAAATCTTATTTCTCGACCTTTCTTCTCCGACTAAATAAACGGAGTTGTTGATGTATTCAAACCCTCACTCGATTTCAACCCTTATCAATCCAACTGTTTAGCGCCACTATCGACCGGCAACTCCAATTCATTTTTGGCATATGCTTACTCCGTTGCGTTTAAGTATCGTGTAATACGTTGAACACGATAATAACGTATAAATAGAGAAAATAGAAAAAAAGAAAATGAAAAATCGAAGGTATCAAATGGATGGGTATCACACTTGGGACGATGAGCCTAATATTCAGTTCCAAATTCGAATTAAAAGCTCAAAATAATCTCAATCTTCTACGCGTTTTCTACATACGTATGTACGACGAGAATCGTAGCACGAGATTCAAAGATACGAGGTCCAATGAGAAGGTCTGATCCCCGATATACCCCAGCGTTATCGAAGAATCGTTTCAGCGTCGCGAAATCCGCACGAGCAGTGCCCGATTCAGACGGATCACGACGAGCTCGTTCTCCGCCCCGAATGATCAAATTGTCCCGCTTCAACCCCTTCGCGACAAAGGGGCGAGTCGTAAGGGTGGTGGGGCATGGGAGACGCTTTGCATTTACAGAGGCACTCGAGGTAAATCAACATGCTCCGCATTAAGTGTCCACGTTGATTACGTGGCCGTGTCCGTACGAAAGGAGGTATCCAATCTGCGAGGAGCTGCGTCGGTGCTCGCGAATGGAAGCAGCCAGGCCTCCCTCGTTAACCAGCAATTAGTATATGCGCGGGTGTGCTTTTAAATTTCGCGACTTCGCCCACGGCCGCGTATACGTGTCTCCTTCGGTTGGCCCTTCTCAATGGAGTATCTCGAGGATCCTTTCAACGACGAAACGTAATTGAAGGTTCACGAGAGCGAACTAACACCGCGATTTCCGCCGAGACGGGCATTTTCGGACCGCTTTTCGGACGGGAGCTGCGTTCCCACGAAATCGAAAGAGTCTCGCGGTGGTTTTCACTCGACTGTGTACGAGCTTCGAGCTTTTCACGTGCTACCGGAGATTCCTTTCAGGAAATTCCAGCGACATCCACACTCGATGGGCACTGCCATTCGAAACTGGGCCACCGGCCGTGATTTAAAGAGCTCGCGACTCGGTAAAGATCAACGAGATCGCGTCGTTTCTCCATCGCGGCAGGTTAGCAGAGAAAGAAAGGGTGTAGAACACACGACGCGATCTCGGTGTGAATCGCGAGCACCACCCTCTGACCCGTCCATCCGCGAAGAAGCTCCGGAAGGCTGGTCCTGACCGTGTGTGCGAAAGGTCGACGAGGGAAAGCTCGATTGCTTCCGCGACGAAAGGAAGGAACGGTACCCCCTATGAAGAAGAAGAGAAATCGTCGGGGCTCTGCGCCCTCTTCCTGTGCCCCCGCATCCTGTCCCACCTCCTCCTCTTCCCGCGTTCCTCGCTCACTGGCCTTTTCCTCCCTCTCCGAGCTCTTCGTCGCCTACTTCGCCGCACTATGTCACACTGTCCACCCCCGTGCACATTTGTCGCGCGATCTCGCGAACCACCGCGCCTCGATCGAACCGAGAACCCGCTGCTTCCACGAACCACAGCGGGGTCGAATCGACTATCAACTTTCAGTCCACTCGTCGTGGCTGCCACCTCATGGTCGCCGTTCTTTTATCTTCTCCCTGGCCCTCGTCCCTCGCTGTCTTCTCTCCTTCTTCTCTCCCGTCCAACGATCCCGATGGTCGACTCCGGATTGTCCCGTCGATCGTGGCGTCTCTCTCGGTCAACCTCGGGCTGCCATTCGAGCTTCCATCGGCGAGGTTCGCACGGCACGGTGGAATTATGACGTGTACCGCGGGAAATTTTTGTCCTGGCCGCGGCGCCGACGGATGCCGGGCTACTGCAGTCGGTGGAGCTTTTGGGCGAGCTTATTTTCGAGCGACGCCAGCGCCACAGTGGCATCTGGTGGCATCGACCGCCGCCGCCGACGCCGCCAACCGACGCTCACGCTGACATCGTCCACACCGCCGCCGTCCAGGGCGTCCCCTGCCTAGGCTTCCACTCACCTTCTACGCCTTCCTGCTACTTCTTTCACGACCTTGCGCTCTCACTGTCCTATCATTCGTCTTCTCTTTTCTCCCTTATTCGCCTCCCTTCTCCCAACTCTTTCTCTCTCCCTCTCTCTTTCCTCTCGCATCTTCGCGCTCGCGTTCATCCTACATACCCTCTACCGTTATCGCATCTACCCCTGTCACCGTCGTCAAACGAGAGATTCTCGCGTCGGTTATTCGTTCGTCGCTACCCAATCGTGCGCGACGATATCGATGTTCGATCGGGGAACTCGCGTCGATGGAGGGAAAGAATCAACGGAGTCGGTTTCGACTCTCGTGCACTCGAATCGTTCCTCGAGGTTTTCCCGTGTTAAAAAAAGAAGCAGGGTGGGCAAAGAAATCGTCGAAGGTCTGATTGGATCGATCGAACGAACGGTATTCGACGGGAGAAGGAGCGTAATAAGATTCCCGCTGAACTTAAGGAGACGTATTTTTCGTAACTCCCGACCGGAAATACTCGCAATGGCTTGCCGAGTTTCGCGATTTCGCGAAAGCATCCATCCCCGGATGATTTAGCGCCAGCCCACCGCGGTTCCAGCCGCGACCATTCGGCATGATTCATTTCCCCCTGCGCCGCTGTCCGCCTTGGTAACAAACGCTCGTTTCTTTTCCGGCGAAGTTAGAAGGTCGACAGGTTCGTGGAATTTCGCTTGTTAACACTTATATACGAATATCGCGTTTGGTAACGAACCAGGCCCGCGTCTGCTATACGGCGACCACAGGTTCTCCATGTTGGAAATTAGCCAGAGGATTTTAATAGTCGTCTGACATTTAAGGTCGAGTTACAATGCGCTTATCGATAGTCGGCCATTGATGCTTGTTCATTTACATAATACCGTTGCCTGGATTGGGCCGAAGCGTCGGGGCGAAATTATAGGATCGAGTAACGCAGGGATGTTTGCGCGTGGTTAGGGGTGGAATTAAGTTGGAAACAAAATTAGCGAACGTGCGTACACGCTTGCTACCATACGGGAACAAACGATCGAAGACGATAGAACCTCGAGCAAACGATTTTGCCCAGAGAAAGGAGAAAATGGCGCGAGCTGGAAATATCAACGGAGATATTAGGATTCGCGGAATTTAATCAAACTAGAATTTAATCGAACAACCCCGTGGCAGGAAGCAGGGACGAAAAAGGCGGGCAAGATCTGTTGAAAATACGGTTCGGTAATGAGACAAGTTTTTATCCCGGGATTAAGACGAGCCGCGAGAAATTGCGAGGAGGGGAGTTCCCCGAGATCGCGTATGCACCCTCCAGGGATCCCCTAATGACCCAATGCTGATGCAGTCGTGGGGCCTCGGGATAGAAACCAATAAGAACCGGTCTATCCGGAGTTTGGAACAGTTGTAAATCGCTGTAACGAGGTTAGCCTGTACAGAGATGCTCGAGACGAGCCTGAGAAATTCGCGGAGTTTGTCCGGCTCGGTTAATCGATCCTTCCTCGCAGGAGGAGCGCAGGAGGAGCGCATCAGAAGCGTTTCGCTTATGGAACTCAACTCTGGAGAAGCCAATCGCTTCGTATCCGCGGTCGAGGCTTTCAACGATGCGACGTCGTTTAAGCTTTCTACTGTTTTCCAATATTTACGACTAAACTTCGTTAATCGTCGAAGAGAAGGAGAAATAAAAATTTTTTTACAAGCTCGACGTAGTTGGAAATTCGGTAGTTTCAAGTCTTCTCGTATTTCTCAACGACGTGCTTCTATTATACATTCTAAAATCTTCTCGTATCCGTGAACGAAACGTTTCAACCGTGCTAGTCTTTTGATAAGTTTATTCGCTTAAAATACGGAAGACACGGTTTCAGCAGCTTTTATTTTTAACGCGGATTAAAGTTACCTGGCTAAAGAAGCAGGTCAACTCTAATGAAAAGACACGCGAGAGCGTGGCAAATTGTCGCGTAAACGACACCGTGTCGCGAAGGAATCAATTAAATTGTCCATTAGAGCGACAGCTACGAACCATTAAAGATTCAGCTGACTCGAAAATAGAAGGGAGGAAAGTTCGCGAGGGAAAGAAACGGGATATTAATCGTCTCGTTCGTTGCTGTTAATTAGTATAGAGGAGTTTCTGCGAGTCTCATCGCGATGTAATAGAAATTTCTATGGACGATTTTGCCCGATTTTGCCGTGTTCAAAGCTGCAGAATTATTCCGTGCGGTTAAACGTGGTCGGCTCGCCGTAACACGCGAATCGTATCGAGCCAGCAAATGCGTTTCAATGTCCATTTCCGTCTGCCGATGAACAGTTCGTTGGTTATCGCGGCTGCTTATTCTAGCTACTGTCACTCACCGCCAGTTAAATAGTGCAAACGCCATTAACAGAGATGACACCATCTCCAGGTTGCCACGATTATCGCGATGCGTTACGTTGCCCGCGCATTTCGCGATATTCCCGTGGAACTAGTCGAAACTGGGACGAGGCTGTCGCGGGGTTTTTACCAAACGCCTTCCTTCGTCGCTGGCATAATTTATGGCAACAAATTTTTGATGTCACGAAAGTGAAACGAAACTTCTGTTACCCGCACTTGCGAAGCAAGTGCTTTGCCCTAATTATCGGGCTTATATTTTCCGTCCAGACAAGAAGATTGGATTTCTCCTGACGTTCCGTTGGAATTAAAATGTTCGAGCTGGAGTAGACGGGGTAAAAAGAAGAATTAACACGCCATTCCTGTCCGAAAGATGAGAGGAGCCGCGATTGTCCTCTCTGGGACCGGCCTAGAAAAATTTGTTGCACGCCAAGCGATTAGCCACACTGTCCCATTTAATTTAGAAAAACGAAGCGAAGTTGATATCTGCACCGGTCTCGAAGGAGATGGCTCGTTACACCCCGTTTGGCTCTATTTTCACAGAGTAATATACGTGTAGGAATATACATGCTCGGAGTTAATCTCGCGATACAAAACCGGTGGGAAAAAATTGGCACAAAGATTTGCCTTATTTGACCCGGTTTTCGGATTGAACAGTGTTTCCAAGATGCCCCAATCGCTTTACCATTTTCGAAATAAGCGAACCGAAACGTAGAAATTTATTTCGGATATAAAAATCGAGGCATGGATTAAAGACTTTGACACCGAATTTTCTAAAAATTCAAGAAGCGAAGTAAATAATTTTGATTTATGAACGGATCATGAATTAGTATCATAGATGAAGCAAATTTCTTGAACGAAAGTCCGCCATTTTCCACAACTTTCCCCGAGATTTCCCAACCTCTTCGCAAGGAACGAACTATGCACGTATAGCACTCCCATAGTAATCAGCTTACACGATGAATTCAACTCGCCATCTTCGTCAATAATTATCCAAGAATCGAGAACGTACGTTTGACGTATGTTTTTCTGAAACATCCCGAGTTATCGAACTTTGGCAGACAGGATGTCACGGCTTGACATTCGAAAGAGTTTGCTCCGATTTTCGCGGTGATAATTCCTCGTTCTAAGAAGAGGCTCCTACTCGTCGTTCGTTAGCACTCGAATATCAAGTGCCTGAGCGTTTAGCCTCTAACAACAGGCCATACAGAGGGATCGATGAGAACAAGTCCACAGGACGTTGCACTTTGAACAATGTCGTAACGAACCTTTCCCCGTTCAGCCACTTCGCGTGGTCGTATTGAAAGTGAAGTGGGCTCGAAGCTCACTCGAACCAGCCAGGTTTGTTTCTTTATTGACGCAGGGGCTACACGACCGGATACTCCGAGCCCCTCTCGCGATTCCGAATATCGTTACAGCGACACACTTTCCGCCCCCTTTTTTCCCGAAGCGAGCACGAAACCGCGGATCGATCCCGTCGTTTCATCCCTTATTGCTTTTCTCCCGCGGTACGAATCCATTCGCGCGACTCCTGATTGTTGTTTATTTCTTATCACCGACGCGAACCGTAGGAAATGAAATTCTTCGAGCGGCTTCGAGGGAATACTAAAACACATCCTCGTAACTTCGAATTTTCTACCCTCCCGGTTGATATACGGCCTCTGGAGTGCTTGGGGTACAGCATTCTCCTAGCTTCGCTCATCCGGACCGATTGTCTAGTTCGAGGTAGGAAGAGGAAATATAGTTTCGTAATTCTCCCATGATTCGAGTGAAAAGACAATGAGAATGTTCGAGATAGAGAGTCATCGAGGAATTTCTTGGAACAGAAGCCTATTCGCGAATCATCGATTATACGCAGTTGTAGAGGGTCCTTCCCCACGATTGTTCAAGTCGACTAGTCGAAGGTGGTGGCTCGATGTGGTGGTGGTGGTAGAAGGGATGAAAAGAAAAGGAAGGGGTGCATTTCGTCCTGGCCCTGCTAGTGGACTCATTGGTAAAGTAGGCTCTGTCTTAGACGGGGATACTATTGGAAGGTTTGGAATTTGTATATATAGGGAACAGAGGTTTTTACCGAGGACTCGCGAGAAAGTCCTCGACCTCCTTCAAATAGGAATCCATCCATTGGCGAGGGTGAAATTTTAAAGATTTGTTCACGATTATTATTAACACCTTGACTGCCACGTTGGTCACATATGACCGGAGTGCTTGAACTACTTACAATGGTAAAACTTGAATGAAAATTGACAGCTAGCGTATTTTGAACATAACCGCTAATTAGAAGACCCTACTGAACAATTAAAAATTTTTATTAGAACATCAATGAAAAAAATATTAGAACCAAACTTGCATCTAGCGGTGCATTGTGTTAAAAATCGGCGTCCTGAACGAAACACGTGATATTGGCAATATAGTCAAAGGGTTAATACGTCAAGAGGGTCTACTGTCAAGAAATAAAGTTCTACCTACGAAA